TTCCAGGTCCTACCGTGGACATTTTATCTTAAAACAACTTATATAAAATATAAAACTTCTAGCAGATTAATGTTAGTAATTTCTGTTCCAACAACTTAGCCTCACTGTAGCAATCCCTACCTTACAAAAATGAACTTTATTTTAACTTAATGCATGGCAAAACATATCCCCCACTTGCAGCCAGTGTTAAAGACACTGCTGTGGACAGGGTCAATCAAATTCATTACCCATATTGGCAAAGTAGGTGAGGTTGTCCTAAGCAGAATTTATAATAAGAGATGCTGAAGTTGATTTTTTTTTTTTTTTTAAATCAATACCAGCTAGACATTTGGGTTTGGGTAGGAATTAGGGATGTGGGTGAGGAAGCATAGTCAATCCTCATTTTCCTCATAGTTATATCCCGAGACAAATCTATTTTAATTTCAACAGAAAAGGGATTTTGCAAAGTGGTTTTAACAGACAAAAATGCTTGTGCCATGTTTTGTGGATGTTACAGATATTATAATTAAAAAAAAAAACCAAAAAAAAAAACCACACAACAAAAACCACACAGCCTTTTTTGGTCGAAAGACTCCACATCTGTTTTGCAAGACAGAAGGAATAGATTTTTCCCCTCTACCCCCCCAACTACTGAAAATAGCTAACCAAAAAGTCAAACTAACATCATGGAAAAGCATTCTGAAACAATTTTTTGGAATGATATACCAGTGGTTAGTAAGCAGCAGTTTGAGGTCTCATTGCCTTGCCTTTACATAGGACAAAAAGAGGGGAAAAGAAAAAAAAATGAACAGTCTTCTTACACTGCAGTACCCAGGTTTAATCTAAAATCATTATATGAACCACTAAATGGCTGAACAGAGAACAGTATATATTTACTTCCTGATGCATGCAAGAAATTTGAATACATTAATTCAAGTTTTAAGTATTCCTCACAACAAGAACAGACTTGCTTAAATGGTTTTTCAGTTTGTGTTCATGCCTTGTCCCCCTGACACATGATATAATTCAGTCCCTGTCTCAGCACTGTTTCCTTAGGAATGCCGATACAGTTCGAGTGTTACCATATGGTAGAGCTGGGGGACAGAAAGGGGGAATTGCTGTAACATTCTTAAACTTAGCCACTTCCTTGAAGATCAGAAATAGGGATGACCTTGTTTCAAATGTGTTCTATCAGCTCAGTGATGCAATTTGGCAGTCAGTCAATTACAACTTCTTTAAGATAAATGCATGCAATTCAGAAAAGTCACACCATACTTTCCTTGCACAGGATAAGGGCAAGGCAGCAATATAGTGACTTGTGTGTCAGATTCTGCTTTCTTCACAAAACTCCCTGCAATATACCCATTTGGTTCCTCAAAACCAGTCTACTGGGCTTAGGCACAGAGAAGATACTGCCAATAACAAAAGAGTGTCGTAGTTTAGAAAGACTATAAAAGTCATGCTTGATTATTAAAAGGCAAACACTAGATTTAAAATACATATGTGTGTGTGTACAATATATATATGCCAGATCATTTGTCATATCTCCCGCTAAAAAGAAAGCACAATATGATAGATGTTAATCCTCATCATTAGGCAACTATTTTTGTATATGTTGTTGTAACACAAAAGCTAGGACAAAAGCATTTGTAAGCATGAGCTACAAAATGTATATTCCTAGGCTCCCAAATCAGAAGAGACAGAACATGGACTAACCGCTATTTTTACTTGCTAGGTCGCTAACTCCATTTCAGGCTTGATCTTGCCACAATGAAATCCATGGAAATACTGCCATGGAGTTCTGTGGGAGAACTATTCTCTCAAAAGTGAAATGAACAGCATTTCTCTTTCAGTGTTTTAAGTATTGATGAAATCACTATTTGTAGCAGGGTAACAGAGTACTAAGCAAATATGTTGGCAACAAGAAAACAGTTACTCTGTTTTAGACTATAATTTGAAAGTTAAATCTTTGCTCTTATCTTGTTATGAATTTTGGATCTTAAAAGTGTACACCTTCCAGAAACACTGCATTAATTTTACTGCATCATTTTAAGTAACTGGATGATGGTGAGATGGTTCAAATTATCAGCTGCATATAATTCTACAAGGTTTTGCTGATCTATGCCACCTGTTTCTGTATTTTTATTAAGCAGATGAAATTGTGTGTGTGTGTGCAATGCTGTTAGGGAAAGTACAGACATCCAGACTCCTGGGAAAAACTGTCCTGAGAACAATTTAAACCTGGTTGTTCCCAGGTTATTTTTCTCCCAGATCAGCTATTTTTGCTCCAGGAGAAAAAGCCCAAATGTCTGCACAATGACATTTAGTTTCTACTGGGAGAACTGTAATCCTCCTGAGGCTAAGTATAGACATTAAGAAAGCCCACAGCAGAATCAATTCAATCTACGTGGGTTTCTCTAAAATGTGTAGGTTGGATCGGGAGTGAACAACTCGCATCTACCCTTCAAATGGGGAAAGCAGGTATTTGCCTGCATTGGCCAAGGCCAGAAGGTAGGGGGTGCTCCCACACACCTCCCAGCCTGCTGGACATTGCCAGGGGCAGCCAACCATAGCTGAACAGGGGCCATCCCTGACTGGCTGCCCAGCGCATGCCCCCAACACCTTGCTGTCAGCCGCAGGGAGGAGAGAGCCAGCACAGAATCCAGGCAGCAGGGGGAAAGAGAG